AAGCTACAATTTTAGCCAGAATGATGGAGGAAAAAAATTGAAAGAATCAATTAGTTTGAAACTACTGACATGGAGAAAAAAAGAACTTGTTTTCCAAAAAAAAATGTGTACATTAATTTGGCTTCAATGAAGGGAAGCAACTGGAATAAAAGAATTGTTTCATCATTTAAAGGTTAGGTACAAGATTTAGCTTAGTTGTTAAAGCAGAAGTCATTTTACTACATTGTATTATTATAGCAGCTTTATTATAAAGCCACAAAAGGTTGACAAATGACTTGTATGTGAATAGTATTAACTGAGAGAGTCTGGAGGATGTGGGAAATGAGCTATCTTCATACTGGGAAACAAATAAAACATGTAAGTAAGTTTCTGCACAAATTACAGGAGGGGGTAGAAAGATCAGCCACATTACTTTCAAAGCTCGTTGTTTAATGCTCCAGTTCAGTTAGAATTGTTTCCCAGTCACCAGCACTTGAGTCAAGCCAAGACCTGGAAATAGTCCTGGCTGACAACTATTTTCAAACTGTAGTAGAGGAGGAAAACTTAGGCTCAAAGTCACTCCTGACCTCCACTTTGATATGAATTCTGTTGAGGCCAGCTCAGAGTGTGTGGCCTCCAAAACGTCGTTATTAATTAAACCCACTCCTTAAGTCGGTCCTGGACATTTCTCCTTTTCCTATTGACCAGGTTGAGACACCTCTAGTTCTGCTGATTCAGTGAATAGGCGAAAAAGGTTTTATTAGTTGTTTCTGCTAGTAAACATTGTTTATGATCTTTTGTTTTGCTAAATTAACATTATTGTTTTATTCTTTTAACATTTTTGCTTTGATTTCCTTCTGCTCAGTGAGATGTTATGATTTAAAATGAGAAAATATTTATCACTGAATGTAATATGTAATTCTCCTGTTAACAAGTCCCATTAAAAGTATTCATGACAATGCTCCATCTTAAAAATTTTGAAAGTCAGATATATAACATTTTTCACTCTATTTAATTTCTTTTTAAACTCACCATTCATAAGAGCTCAGCATCAAATTTGTAAATGTCTCTCGCAGACAAATTATACTCAGAGTTAATGATCCAGCATTTACATTATTGGTAAAATTGGAAAGGTAATTTCAGAAAGTGTACTTCGAAATAGCACATTATTGGCGATCAATTGGTAACTTTAAATTTGTTGGAAAGTTTTGGCATTTTTAAACTTGAAAGGGAAACGAGGAGTCAGCACCAACAGAAGATGTTGATAGTTCAAGATATTCTCATTTACTCATGTGATTTGTTTGCAGTTCTTGGGAGGTTCGAGTCTGCTGGATGTTGCTATCTGGATGTGGCATTGCCTCAGGTTCAAAGAAACAGAGTGATGAACAGTGAAATGGGTGAAATCTTCGCAACCCATGAATGCTGTGGGCAATGACAAATCAGTTCGAAAAACATGGTGAGAATGGAAAAATTAGATTCTTGACATTGAAAGGAAATAGACTGGATTTCCACATGAGGTTCTAACGACTGGATGCGAATCTCACTATTGAGCAGCAGTGGGTCTATTTTTATGCATCAACATCTCATTACCTAATCTTGCCTCATTTAAATGTAAGTTCTTTTTCTCCCCAGGCAGTGGTGAGAAACTAGATGGGGACAATTCCCTACATGAAAGTTTGAGCAAGAGGCTGGGGTATCTTATCCAGGCTTCCAGCTTGGATAGAATTTCCCAACACCTCAGGGCACAATCCATTTGCAGTGATTAGTTGTCCCCCATCAACAGAAGTTAGCAATGTAGAATCACAAGCCTCACCATATCATCATGGCACATTTCCAACTCACCAATTCAGTTCTGCACTTTGGCGCTCACCACCATCTTACATGAGACTGTTGTTGCCAGACAGCATTCCACACAGAAACAGGCACTCAGTTTCATGGAATTAGTTTCATATTATGGGTTTTAGCTTGCTCCCTTAGTGCTCACTCACTTTTCTTCCTACTTAGATGCTCATAACATATCTGCCTTGCCTCGCCTTAACTTGTCTTTTAGAACAGACACAAAGCCAATTAGCCTGTCATGTTTGTAAACATTGATCAGTCAAGGAAGTAGATATGTTGTTGAATTGCATTATGCTTTATCACACCCATGCTATGTGCCAGCAGATTATGAGTGGCACAGTGGTTAGCATTGTTATCTCACAGTGCCAAGGACCCAGGTTTGATTCCAGGATCGGGCAACTGTCTTTGTAGAATTTGTATATTTTCCCCATGTCTGTGTGGGTTTCCTCGGGGTGCTCTGGTTTTCTCCTACAGTTCAAAGATGTGCAGGTTAGGTGGATTGGCCATGGAAAAATACAGGGTTACAGGAATAGTGTAGAGGGGGTGGATCTTCAGAGGGTTGGTTTTGACTAAATGGGCAGACTCGCCTGCTTCCACGCTGTATGATTCCATATGGTAAACACAATAAATGTGCTTCAAAGAAACAGCCATGTCAATAGTCTAAGGGAAGTTGTCTTGATTCATGTCAAGGGAGACTGCCATCAGTTAAGGAGTCATGCCACGCTCAGTCAAGAGTATTGTCCAAGCCTAGTCAAGGAACTTAAACACGGTTGGTCAGCCGCAAGGTACAGTCAGAGTCCCTGTAGTTCTGGCAGAGGGCCACGATCAGTCCTGCAGTCAGTGCATCCAGTCCATGGATTTAACAGTAAGTTGGTCAGGGAGCTGCAGAGTTCAGTCAAGGGTGTGAACATTCATCAGTCAATGCTGTCATTCCAAGTCGGTCAGAAGAGCGGATCATGATCAGACATTGGGATCTGTTTAATGAGAAACAAGGGGCATTATCAAGAGCCACTGTTGTAGTGGGGAATTGGGAAAGTAAATTGTGAAGTCTGAAGGCAACATGCTGGGATGCAGAGAGGACAATAAGTGTAAAGATGGGGGCAGGGTGAAATTCCACAGGTAAGGATATGTGACAAGCCAAACAGCATGAATTCTTGTGGGGGAGGGGCCCTCGATGGTCACCACCACTCTGGCTTTGTAGAGATAGGATTTAAGATGATAGCTTCAAACCAGATCATTGAGTTAATTGGACATGACAACAAGCAACTGAAATAAAGTGGATAAGTATGTGGGAAACAGGCCAAATGCGAAAGCAGAGATAGTAGGAACTGCAGAATCTGAGATAACAAAGTGTAGAGCTGGATGAACACAGCAGGCCAAGCAGCATCATAGGAGCAGGAAAGCTGATGTTTCGGGTCTAGACCCTTCATCAGAAATGGGAGAGGGGAAGGGGCTTCTGAAACAAATATGGAGAGAGGGGGAGGCGGATAGAAGATGGATAAAGGAGCAGATAGGTGGAGAGGAGACAGACCGGTCAAAGAGGTAGGGTGGAGCCAGTAAAGGTGAGTGTAGGTGGGGAGTTAGGGAGGGAGCTTGTTTTGACTGAGGAATGGCCATGTGATATGACATTGCTGTGAGAATTGTCCTGCTTGGCCATCACATACACCCAGCTGTATACTGGAATGTCCGGGAAAGCCCTGAAAGTACCACAGAATAATGACATGGCAAAAAACAGAAATTGCAGGAAAAGCTCAGCAGGTCTGACAGCATCTGTGGAAAGGAATCAGAGTTAATGGCTCGGGTTTGAGGAAGGGTCACTCAAGAAATTTCTATTTTTGTGTCTGATTTACAGCAGCCACAGTTCTTTTGGTTTTTGTTGATGATATGGCATGTCATCTTAGATTCAGAATAGTGCTAATATCGAGGACTTTGCCCTATTCAGAGGACTTCATTATCGGCTAGGATTGCGAATTGTGCCAGGATTCCCAAGTTCTCCAGACCAGCCATCGTTAAGCAGGATCCCTGGTAGGCAGGAGGCAGTGAGTCTCATTGTTGAACATGTCTAAAGTCATCTAAGCTAACAGATCTACTCATTAATTTACATGTGTTTCTAATATATCTAAAGTAGATTACTGCTTAATATATATATATTGCTACTGCTTTACATATATATCTAGTTTAATATTTATACATATTCTTACTGCTCAATATATTAATGTACCACTTGATATATTACCAACAATAAGCTTGTTAATTAGAATACTTAACTCATATATATTTTGTTTTATCCCAACAAGTCGACTATCAAACCGGAACAGGTGTCAGTAGTGGGACAATGCACCGTGACTGTTGACATAACTAGGCTGTAGGCCAGGGAGCTAAGGGGGTAAAATGGGAGAACGAAGACTTAAATAAAAGAATTAGATGGGAATATGTAGAGGCTCAAATATGATGGGGTTTGAGAGGGAGCGTAAGGCAGAAAGGAACATGAAGGTTGGTTGGTCACCTAGATTGAGAGGTTGAGCCTGTAACTCATTGTGAAAAGCAAGCATACTCATTCAAATCACAAGTGCACATTGGCTATATCACACTCAGAGCGGGCAGAGTAAATATGTTTTCTGTCTGAGAGAGCTGCTCAACTTATGAAGCCTATCAGGGTAAATTGAAGTAATCAGACATTAAGGGTGACATGTGGCTCAGTGGTTAACACAGCTGCCTCACCAGAGACCCATGTTCAATTCCACCCTTGGGTGACTGTCTGTCTGTGCAGAGTTTGCACATTCTCCCTATGTTTGTGTGGGTTTCCTCCAGTGCTCCGGTTTCCTCCCACAGTCCAAAGATGTGCAGGTTAAGTAGATTGGCCGTGTTAAATTGCCCATAGCGTCCAGGGATGTGCAGGTTTGTTGGGATGTACAGAGTTACGGGAATTGGGTGGTATGCTCTTCAGTGGGTTGGTGTGAATGCGATGGGCTGAATGGCCTGCTTCCACACTGTAGGGATTCTACTCTACACATTAATGCAGTACAGGTGATGACATTTATAATCACAGAATTTTGCATGTGAATTACATCAAATACAAATCTTTGCCATGTCATTGATCATTATAAATTGATGAGAGCCAGCTTTGTGAAGCTGACGTAATTATAGGTGATCTTAAAAGTCTCCCCTCTGAGATAGGATTCTCAAAGACAATCCAAGGTCTCATAGGCTGCCCAAAGATATGCAGCTGATTTTCTCTCACTTTGAATTTGAGTGTTTGCCAATGTATTTTTATATGCAATGCTGCTTTTGTTGGGTGATTTGGTGTGATGGGGCAAGAGACGAGAAGCAGATTTTTTTTTAGGGGTCTGAGCAACATGGTCTGAGGTAAGATTTGTGGTAGAACCAGATAAGTCCGAGGCCTATCTCAATCTCACCTTGCTTTAGTTGTTATACTTTTGACAAAGTGTTGCAAGTTGCCAATTATGGGAGGTTTATTGCTTGTTAAACACCTTGAGAATGAACCAATGCAACTCATTAATATTTAATTTTCTATCTTACCAAGTGAGCCAAACAAGCAAGATGTTGAGGAAAAACCTGACTTAGAAATTAAAGTGAATACCTTGCAGATTCATCTTGCCACTTGTTTCAAAGGACCTGCATGTTGATTACATCCATACTGCACCTCAGGACATGATCCACAGTTACCAGTCATATGCACTCTTTACATGGTGGTGTATGGAGTGTCTGCATTCTCTAGACACAAAGCGTCACAAATTGCACATGGCAAGCTGGACAGACTGCAGCATATTTATGCCTGCCCACACTTGCTCCTATGTTCGTGACCTAACTATTCTGAAACTGATCCACATGAGGTACAAGGAAGAGGAAAATCATCCAAGCAATTCTATTGTTACTCCAAGGTATATTTTTGATGCTGCAAATGTGTTGAAACCTGCTGCAGGTCATTCTGTATGTGAAGGTGTATATAAAGAGAATCTTCAGTGTTAACAACACTTGGAGAATTATATTGTTTCATATACTGCTGAAAATGGGACACAATAATGTGTGAAATATCATAAGTAAATAGTCAGTCAGATTACATCTTTCTTTCTTTTGATATGTTACCTCCAGGAACAAGCCAACTTGAAAGTACATCTGCAACATTATTGACTGAGAGCTGGGACATCTGCTGTAGCAGATTAAATGGAATCATGTCAAGCTGCAGTCACTAAACCAGAGAATTTTTTTTTTACATTTTTGTGATATAGATTAGCAATACAGATTGGAAATAAAAAGGGTGATTTTCCTCACCCACCTGTTCAGTGTAATTGGGCAGTGCACTATTAGACTTCAACTGAACCCATTGTGTTTTTGTCTTCAACTATTTCAGATATCATGCTTGGTGTTCAACCAAAACTGAGCATTAAATGGCAACATTACTAAACCCTGGCAGAGACATTCCACCAAATAACCTTCCGTCTCACGGTCCAACCTTCATGGAGCAAATGATTTATCTTTTTTTTTTGCTAAGCTCTGATGAAATCACTGGCTGTTTTGTACAAACTTACAAATTTGGCAAAAACGTAGGCCATTCTGCCCTTCAAATTGCTGCATCATTCAGTAAGATTATGGTTTACACACTTGTGTTACACTAATTACTACTAATTGCTTTAGTAATGATAAAAGTTAGGTGAGGAGAAAGCTGAAAGGGGATATGAGGCTGCAAAGGGTTTAAAAACTGATTAGTCAGTGATTGGGTAATTAGGCAGTCAATGCAGGGAGCTGTGAAATTATCTATTTTGGTAGGAAGAATGGAAATGCAGCCTATATTTTTTTTTAGAAGGTAAGAAACTAGTAAATGTTTGGGTTCTCAGTTATTTTACTGTCCTAGTACATAGAAAACTAACATTCAAGCACATCAAATAATCAGAAAGATAACCAGCATGTTAGCCTTTATTGCAAGGAGGTAGCACTGTGAGAGAGTGAAGAAATCTTGCTACAGTTAAAAGGAGTTTCAGTGGGACCACACCTGATAGATAGTGTCTCTCTCCTTACCTCAGGAAGGATGAATTTGCCTTAGAGGAAATACAATTATTGTTCATTAGATTGCTGTCCTTGAATTGATGATATTCTCTGTATTTTAAAGGAATGAAAGGTGATTTAATTGAAATATGTAAATTTCCGAGAGGTTTGACAGTTGGGATGATGTAAGGATGCTTCCCTTGACTGAAGAGTCCAGAATTCAGTGTCTTGATCTCATGATAACAAGGCTGCCTTTTAGAACAGAGATGAGGAAAAAATTCTTCACTCTGAGGTTGTGAATCTTCGGTATTCTCTACCCCAGAGAGCTGGGAACATTCCAACATTCAGTAAGTTTAAGATTGAGATCAGAAGATATTTTAGGTGCTATGAAAAACTGGAAAATAAGCGGTTAGGTCGAGAACGTGGAGTTGGTGTTTAACTCTAATCCTATTGAATTATGGAACAGACTCACAAGGCCTTAGTAACACACCTCCTATTTATTTTGTTGGTCTGATTCCATTCAAGGAAGTGTCTAAAATTGAGGTGGGAGTTGCAAGTATAAGATTGTCACTAACAAACCCATCAAAGAAGTCAGGAGAAACATTTCACTCTGGGTGTTGTTAGTATGTGGAATTTTCTACCACATACTGAAGTTTGTCATCTAAGAAGAGTTTAAGGAGAAGCTAGATTGGGTTGGAGGGCTTGAAGATATTACATGGATAAAGAAGGTTGAGACCAAGGTAGGAGGGATTTGAGAAGAAAGGATAAGAGTTAGTTTAACTTTTAACAGTGGGAGAAGACTCCTGTGGAGTATTAACAATGGCATGTTTCTGTGCTATTAATGTCATGAAATTGCATAATGAATTTCAATACCAAAAATGCACCTAATGTTGTTTAAGAGGGAATGATTTGAAGAGATGTATTCAGCTAGATTGAGCACTTAACTCCTGAACAGATTCACAGGGAACCCATTGACTCAAAAGACATGCTTTCACGAAGGCTGTCCAATCAACTTCTTCCCATGGCGGTTCGCATCATGAGACAGATTCAATACATCTCCTGCTTGAAAATAAAATCGTATGTCGGCCGAAATGCTGGACACAACTACTAAACCTTGGGTATCTTTCGGAAGAGCTGAGCATCTGTTAATATTCATCGAGAAAGGACTTAAAGCTGAACAAATTGACAGGAATAAGGTAAGGAGCTATTGTTCACAAAGGACCACTGGCATTTCTCTCCATTAGAGGGACAATGGATTATGTATAATGAGGGTAATTACTCAAGCAGCATGAAGTAAGGTAAGGAGGCAGGACATCCATAAACTACCACAGCCAGTATGGGGAATGAATCTGCACTGATGGCTTTATTCTGCCCCACACTCTAGTCATCAAAGTTTAATATGTGTAAGTTTGTAGTAAATACAAAATGCTGGATATATTCAATACATCAGACAGCAACTGGAGAAAGAAAATTAACATGTCAGATTGATCCCTCAATAGAACAAAGGTAAAAAGTAGACATATAATAGGTTTTCAATAAATGGATCTGGGGAGACAGTTTCCTGTCTAGTTTTGATGGGGGAGGAGGACTGGAGAAATTAAATAATTCAAAAAAAGTTTCATGGAGAAGGTAAAAGGAGTAGAGATAGATAAAGGAACAAAAGATGTATCCAGGTAAGATATAAATGGTTGTATAGATGCCACCCAAATACAAAGAAAATGATGAAAAGAAATAAAACAGAAAAAGGACAAAAGAAAGCAAAATGGAGGTGGAGGTTCTGATATGAAATTATTGAACTTAATGTTGAGTAAGTTTGCATTGGTTTATATAAGTAAAGTTAACACTTCATGTCCTACTGTTCCAATTCTATTATAAGTACATAATAACTATAAAATTATAAGATCTATCACACTGACTTCTACCACTGAGATTATCTGCAAGAATACAATTGATAATATATCATAAGGCATGTGAATTCTATCGGATGAATAATAGATTTCTCAGCTGTGCATAGACTGGGATATGGTACAGGCTATTGTGTTATTGTATAGATCCCAGACCAGACAGGCAGTCTGACAGCTAGGTGGCCTCACAATACATGGTTTTTTTCAGTATAAAGGTTTCTGCCTGAACTGCAGTATTAGTAGTAACAGCCACAGTCCGAAAGGATCATAGGGCTGTTCTCTTTAACGAAAGAGACACAACTGGTGGTGGTTTAACCTGAGCCTCAGGCAGGGGGCAAGATTGAGCCTTCATGGTAACCTCAGCCAGTACAGGAATTAAACCGCATCAGAGGAGCAGGAAGGCTGACATTTCAGGCCTAGACCCTTCTTCATTTCTGAAGAAGGGTCTAGGCCCGAAATGTCAGCTTCCCTGCTCCTCTGATGCTGTTTGGCCTGCTGTGTTCATCCAGCTCTAAACTTTGTTATCTCAGATTCTCCAGCATCTGCAGTTCCTACTATCTCAGGAATTAAACCTGTGTTATTGGTGTCACTCTGCATCGAAAACCAGCCATCCAACCAACTGAGCTGGCCAACTCCTATTATTAGTGAAGGAAAAAACAGTTAACATTTCAGGTCCAGTGACCGTCCCTCAGAAACCTTCCTTCCTCACCGGAGCCGAAACATTAACTTTGTTTTTCCCTTCACAGATGCTGCCAGACCTGCTGAGCTTTTCCAGCAACTTTGTTTTTGTTCCTGATTTACAGCATCCACAGTTCTTTCGGTTTTATCTCCTATTAGCAGCCTGTTTATAGTTAATGCATCTTTGTTAATGTATCTTTGCTGTATATAGTGAGTCAGCATAGAACCCAAACTGTGTAAGTCTGAAATATTATTGCAGTGTAAATAGTTAATGTTAATAAATGTCACAGCATCTGTCTCAATAACACAACAGTCTTCATGGTATATCTTACAACAGCTAAAATATGAGGAATATTCAGACCATATTATACTTGTAGTGCTGTTTTACCCAGAGACTATATTGAGGTGACAGATTATCGGTTCTGAAAGGAATAGCTGCAATGGCAGTTGTGAAGACTTTTTAAACCATCTAAATGAGTTCGGTGCTGAGGTTTACAACCCCCATATAAGATCAAAGTCTTCAGATCTATTCAAATGTGCTTTGACCGAATTTTCAGTACCAGCACATTATCTCTGCTGAAAAAAAAACAGCTTTCTGGTGATTCAGTGCTTCATTTTGTGGTCTTGCTAGCAAATTTGCAATTGGATTCCTCGCTGAACTACTGTAGTACAAAGTAGCTCCTCTCTGCCAGCAAACATAGAACACAGGTAAATTTGCTGTGGAAACTGTTCTCCATATTGACTGCACCCTTCCTCTGTTCAGATGTGAGTCAATTTTGCTATTTTTTGTTTTGCAAGAAACAGCACAACCTGCAAAAAGAGGTTTGCATGATGTAATTCCAACTTCCCTTTAGAATAAAGGATGAGAAGACAGTAACAAATAGAAGCGTTACACTTCAAGACATATATTTTATATAGCACTTTAAAGAGCATAGAACTACAAAGGAAAACAAACACCCAAGCATGGGTTGGCAATCCAATTACCTCCTGTCAGAGTTCTGATTCTTCAAGGGAAATATATTTTGACTTCATGAGTTAACAATTAGCTGATAAGAGAATGAAAGTAGTTAAATTCATTATTGTTTTGGGAAACAGAAGGACTAAGATGAGACAATTAATTGACCATCTCGAATGATGATCGTATAGATCATGACAGAAGGTTCCAGAATTTAGTAGACCAGTTTAAGGTTTGAGTCCATGTCAGGATATACAAGCTTGAGTTCATGCCATACTGGCAACAAAGTGAAATAAGCAACCAGTTTATAGGCAGGTGTTGATGCAAAGGTAAAAAATGTGATTCACCAAAGCTGACATAGCTAAAAGACTCAAGAAATTGGTCATTGCCTTTGACACTATTTAAGACATTCAAAAAAAGAAACCCAAGGACATCTGAGTTGTAGGAGCAAAACTGCCCAATCGGGGACAAAGCAAGTGGCAGACTTTAATTCAAGCAAAAGTTGGTTAATGCAGGGTGAGGGCCAAAGGATCTTCCCGGAATCTGGCTTCAACATGAGAACACGATTAATCTCTTAACCTTCGGCTCGGATTGGAAGAGAGATCAATGACACACTCAGATTTTTACAGAGAAATACAGCATTTTTATACATATTGTGTTACAGTAACCACGCACAGTGTGGTCACTGTGTCCTTCCCCCATATTCCATACACCCAATCCTGTGAAACACATAATCAATCTTGGGCATTCCTATGAACAGCCCCAGGTTCCTATGATCTCATGATGTTTAAAAGACATTGTAGTCTCCAGGCCTCGGGATCTTTCAATACAT